CATCCATCCATCCATCCATCCATCCATCCATCCATCCATCCATATATATATTATTGCATATACTTTATTAGCTATAGTTATCCTTTTATTTGAAAGAACAATTGTTAAGGGTTAAAATATGACAATATCCACTCATCAAATGTACAAGTGAACTCTTGGTTTCTTTGACAAAATGTCTAAACAAAGTCAAACATCTCTAAATGTTATTCATGAAACGATGATGATTTTCTCTACTCTTCTCTACATTTAGTTCCTACACAGATGAGTGGGGTCCGAAACACTGGCCTCCTTCCAGATTCAGCCACGTCATGAAGCTGAGACAGGCGGCCCTGAAGGCTGCCAGGGAACGATGGGCCGACTACATACTGGTAACACCTGAAGTAGAAATAGGAAGGCATACATCAAGGATTTAATCTTTACTCAGTAGGACTTACACATAGTGGGGTTTTTTAGGCTTCATCAGTGAAATGTTTTTATTTTATGCGTATAATTTCCAAATGAATAATTATGGTTTGAATTTGACTGATTAATGCAGAAAAACTTTGATCAATTTCTAATCAGTAATCAGTATTCAGGCTCCATTAGTGTGTTTTTTTTATCAAAAAAACAAGCCATAATAACCCAAACCGAACATTTCCATTGTTAGACTCGGTGGTAAAAACATCCTGTTGGGTGATTCTTTTTGCAGCTTAGACAGACAGCAGATCAGAGGACATTGATGACCGCTATGGGAAGGGTTGGATTGAAGCATAGTCATGTTGGATTCGAATTGGCCAGTCAAAGTCCACAACAAATCCAATTAAATTGGGAAGAAATACTGTTTATAGATGATCTTTGTGGTTGTAACTTCATGAATACTTTAACTTTGCTGTGTAGATTTGATCAGAATTTATAATTCTGTTGTAAATATTTAATATTTTTTTCTGTTTTTATTCATCTTTGTCTTTTAACAAAACATAAAGCTTCCTTACTTTAAAAGCAACCCCTCTTCAGTTTGTTGACAGTGACAACCTGCTGACCAACCCCCGAGTGCTGAGCCTGTTGATGGCCGAGAACCTGACGCTGGTCGCCCCCATGTTGGAGTCTCGCTCTCTCTATTCCAACTTCTGGTGTGGTGTCACCCCACAGGTGCAGCTCAGGCATGAGTCAGGGCATTCATCCATCCTCTCAGAGTTATCAACTAAACATCTTTGTCTCTTAGGGTTACTACAAGCGAACCCCGGACTACCAGCCCATCAGGGAGTGGAAGAGGCTTGGCTGTTTCCCTGTTCCCATGGTGCACAGCACCTTTCTTTTGGATCTTCGGCGTGAATCCAGCCGGGACTTGGCTTTCTACCCACCTCATCCGGACTACAGCTGGGCCTTTGATGATATCATGGTGTTTGCCTTCTCGGCACGTCAAGCAGGTCGGTTTGCAGCTCTCACCAAACCACGAGACTTCATGCAAGGAAGCAAATTCCTCATGAAATGCGTGCCATCAGTCACTGTCTTAGCTTAGCAGTCACTCAAAACAAAGAAGGTATTTTTTACATCATGCCAAAGTGTACTGATGAACAGCTGAAACAGTTTCTTCGCATGTCAGATTCATTCTAGATTTCAGAGACAAATGTCTGCAATGCATTGCTTTGCTGAGTATGTGGAGCTTTTCTGGCTGCACAGTTTGTGGAGTTAATAATCAGCAACAGGTAACAAGCAGGATCATTAAACGTCCTCGTATGTGCTGCAAAACCAAATAAACACATGAAAGGATTCATGTAAACATTAGCAGATGGAAGCATAAGTTTTGTCCAACTCATAAATGAATATCAACCCCAGGAGGATAAAGGTGACTTCAATTATTTCTTAAATCAGAGATTTTACACCCTTAAGGCTCATTATTGTCCAGGCTTCAAAGATTTACCATCCAGGTGCGACACCTGGTTTCTTGACCCCTGAGACTTTACTTTGTGCCCCCCCCAAGTTTTTTGTGTTTCTTCCTAGGGCTAAAGTGGAGAAGAACGTTTCTTGCTGTTATTTATAGGGTCAAGACATGGCATGTTTTCTTGAACATAAAAAAGTACTTGGCATTGTTGTTTAAAATGCATCTGGAAAGTAAGAAAAAAAAACAAATATTCCGACTCTAAATTATTGCATTTCTGCTGTTTTGTTGCACATTCTCCCACATGTGTTAAAAGAACAATTATTCACTTAAGAGTTTAATCAAAAGTATTGGAGTTTCCTCTCTGTTTCTTTTTTATATATTGCCTTGTTGCCTTCTGCTAGTTTTTCTTTCTCATTCTGAAGTTTTATTAATTAGTAATTTCTCTGCTCTCCACAAATCTAAATCATCTTAAGTAATGTTTTTAAATGCTGAAGAAAGCTGGTCATTTTCTAGAAAATAACAAAACATGGCCTAAAAACTGCATGACTCTGCTCATGGGTCGATTATTGCAACCTTTTGAGTCATTGTTATAATTCGAACATTACACTGGAAAAAAATGAAATCTAGATAAGTCATTTTTTCTAAAAGTAAGTGATTTTGTTGTTGAATTGAGGGGATAAAAGAGACATATTGCCTATTAGAACGAGACGATTTACATTTAAAATAAGAAAACACAATTGCAGTATCTTATTTCAAGCGCGTATTTTATAATCATCTTATTTTAAGACTAAAACTTGTCATTCCATTGGTTAAGTATCTACTTTTCCTACTCCAATTAAGGGTAAATTAATTTAATTTAAGAGATTGTTACTTATTTCTACATGATTTTTCCAGAGTAGCTCTTCAATAAAAGATCATACACATAGCATAATGCTGCCACCACCATGTTTTAACCTCAGGGCCAATAAATGTTTATCTTCTTTATCGCCTGCTGCCATATCCCAAAAAAGCTTCTTTAAAACAGACACATTTGTGTTTTCTATTTAAAGTTTTAATCTTTGCTCAGAATGTGACAAAAACCGACTTTAAACTATACCAAAACAGTATTCCGGCATAACATTTTTTTGTAGAACAATCTGTATATCTGTAGAAAATGTGTTTTATCTGTGAAGGTTAACAAGGGATTAAACCATGTATTTTCATAAGGGCCAAATCATTAAGCAGAAATGATTCAGTGGCCAAACATCTTATTTATGTTATTTAAGACAGAAAATCATTATCATTCAGAAAGTATATATTTTTTTGGCCTGCAGTACAATAAAAAGGTAATATTGTTATTAGAACAAAATAAGGATTTGCGATCCATTTTCTACAAAAACAAAAAAAACACTTAAAAGATGTTGCTTTTTGCTCCATTCAAATACCTTTTAATGTGTTTATCTTATAGAGTTATTCATTCCTATTTTTTTCTATTTGCTCAAAAAAGAGCTTAGATAATTGACTAAGCTTAATAATTATTACAACTACATCCAGCCTTTCTCATCTTACCTGCTAAAACATGTTTTGACAACTTTGTAACTGGACAACTGTGTAAGCAATAGCTCAAGAGTTACCACTAACTGGTAAAAGGGATGTTTGAGAACTCAGTAGCATACTAATTCAAGTATTAGCTAGTCGGTTTTAAACTGTGTGTCTCCATTTGCATTTTTGGCATTATGTTTTTCAAACAGGGTCTTATCATTTTTTTTTACTCTTGGGGTTTTCATTCTGTCGTGTTGGTGAGCTAAACACTAACTAATGGGCATCAGTGGTAGCAAAAAAGAAAAGTTTACACGACTATGAAAAAGCAACACTGGTGTTTAAATGGTCCTGATTTCTTTTAGTTTTTATTTTAATTCTTCTTATGTTTATTTTTCTGCGAGAATGCCTTTGTGTTTAAGTTTGCGGTTGCTCTGGGGTCGAGGATAAGAGGATGAAATGCTGGCCTAATTTCCATGTGTGTTGGAAATGTTTGTCTTACAGCATTCTGTTTATGTGTGTGTGTGTTTCAGGCGTGCAGATGTATGTGTGCAACAAGGAACACTATGGCTTCCTGCCCGTCCCTCTCAAAGCTCAACAAAACGTGGAGGATGAAAAGGAGAGTTTCATACACACCGTCACAGAAGCTCTAAGTGAGTAGATTTTATTACCTCTTGACTTCCTCTTCACCTCTCAGTGTTATTTCTTCTCCCTCTTGACCTCGATGACCCTTCATAATGGCTCCATGGTGACCCCTCTCTAAGACCCCTCCAACCCCTCCCTGTTTCTGCTCAGACCTAACATAGACCCCTTGGTATTGTCTTATCAGTTGAACACGACATCGATCCTTCTCAGTACGTCTACGCACCACTGTTGCCCCCGGATACAATGGGCTTTGATGAAGTAAGTCTGCTGGTATTTAGGTTTGCTTTCTAATCAGCAATCTAAACATTTTCAGTGTCAAATCCTAGTTTTGTTATTTTGTTTGTCTACTGTGGAATGAGTTGTGTTATTTTGCCACGGTAGATTTTCCTGATCAACTTGAAACGGCGGCTGGACAGAAGGACCAGGATGCTGAAAACAATGGCCTCCCTGGGCATTCATGGCACATTGATTGACGCCGTGGACGGAAAGTAGGTCACAAAGGCTACAAGCGTGCATGCTTAGCATCTTAATCAGAAATCTGAATTTTTTTCTAAGGCAGACTGATTTACTCAGAAACAACCAAAGTCTTTCCAGCAGCTTTCGTCTTTCATCTTGAGTTTGTCACATTTCCTGTCAGGAAGCCCTTCTTCCTCTCTAACTTTGTATTCATTCCTTCTTGCTTGAGTTATTTTTCCTCCTTCTTGCAGACTTTAATCCATTCTTAGGAATCTCCTAATCCCTGTAAGTCCCTTTATTTGTCTGACAACCTGTGTGGCAGCATGGTTTATAATGATGACTAATTCAGTTGAATAAAATGTTTATTTAGATACATAATGCAGCATTTTTGTTCTCTACATCATCTTTTCTTTTTTATTGTCTTTCTCTCAGAGCTCTGAATACATCCCAGCTGCAGGCACTGGGAATAGAGATGTTGCCAGGCTACAAGGATCCATATTCTGGTCGCGTCCTCACCAGAGGAGAGATCGGCTGCTTCCTGAGTCATCACTCCATATGGAAACTGGTGAGGGCGGGAGCATAGGCAAATAAATTAAAAAATCATGTTTAACGCAGGTCCTTTTTTTCTTTAAACGTTTTCCTTTTACCAGCTCTTAAAAAAAGGTGATATTGTTAAAAAGAAAAACTGTTTACCAGTATTTTAAAAAGTTAAATATTGATGATTTGGGATTAGAAAAATATGTCTTATTTCTACCTGTACGTTAAAAGTAACAGAATAAAATCCTCAACAAAGATGTGACAAGTCTTAGGATGCATGCTAGGCTTAGACTGAAAAAGAAAACAAGTTCAGTCCAGCCCTAAGGCATAGTAGTGAAGTGGTATTATTTGGGTTAAAAAAGCATTATATATGAACCCTTATGGGAAGAGGGCAGGAAGAAATTAGATTATAAACAAAGTCTTCAGAGATTCTGCACATAAATGTTAATAACGCTCCATAATGTGTACTGCAGGATGGTGATGAAGTGGAGATAATTTAGGTAAAAGAAAATGTAGTTTCTATCAACCTATCCCAACTTTTAATCTACTCTTAGAAGGAGGTGGAGCAAACAAACAATAAACAGAAGGTCCACATACGCAGGGTCTGTTCAAAACACTTCACACCGAATGTAAAGCAAGCTGGTCCAGAGGTGATGATTGGGGGGGATCTAAGAGGGCCTCGGTGGTCAACCTATAAACACTGAGCAGAACACGGAAACTGGTCATAGAGCTGAAATGTGTTTTTCTCCCTTTTTTTTCTTCTCCCTTCCACAGGTGGTTGAGCGTGGCCTCCAGAAGGTCCTTGTTCTGGAGGATGATGTGAGGTTTGAGCCCAGGTTTAAACGAAGGCTTCAGGCTATAATGGAGGACATAGAAAAAACCCACCTGGACTGGGACCTCATGTAAGAACCAGTCTGAATACACAAATGAGCACCTCTGTGTTCTCTTGTCATTTTAGATCCTAAAGAAAGCGACATACTCTGTCTTTCCTTTTCTACCTCCAGCTATGTGGGAAGGAAGCGTATGCAGGTACAGCAGCCCGAGCATTCAGTGGAAGGTGTGAACAACCTGGTTGAAGCCGACTATTCCTACTGGACCCTCGCTTACGCTCTCTCACAGGAGGGGGCTCGAAAGTTACTGGCAGTTCAGCCTTTAACAAAGATGCTGCCTGTCGATGAATTTCTACCCATCATGTTCAACAAACATCCAAAGTAAGCCTTTACTCTAGTTTTCTCAGACCTAAGATTAAAGTACAAAAAAGACACCTAAAAATGATGCATGCATTTTAATATTTTGTTCTAGTATTGCCACAGACCTCAGTGTATTTAAATGGGATTTTATGTGAAAAAGCCACACAAGCAAAAGGAAAATGAAATATGATTTCAAGTGGTTTCACAAATAAATGGCTGAACATGTATGCATATGTAAGCAGTCAATACTTTGTGCAATTGGCTATATAAAGCTGATGATAACAGACTCTCCATCCAAAGAGTCGACACAGTGCCAGCTATTGTGTATTTATAAAAACAATGTCTGCCTCTAGAGATTCAAAGCCTTTAGAGAAGATCCCTAAAGACATGCTGTAATTACAGAGAAAGGAGGTCACAAACTGATGCACAAAACACTTTTCTGATTTTCATTTATATTTGACAACCATATCTCATTTTAATCCACTTAGTTTCCCTATGGAATTGGTATATTGTCTAAAGAGCCCCATGAAATGGGAGTTTGACGTAAAATGTGAAGATGTATTTTAAGGGGTAAAACTGTTTGGCACACATGTGGCTATAGCTAAATGAGAACAAATGTTTAAAACAAACAAATCTCCTTTTGAACTGTAAAGTAGAAAGCCACAAAGCTCTATTCAGCAGTGTGTCTGAGTGCTGTTAGCCTACATGTTTTACACAGCTAACAGACTGGTGAAGTGTTGGTTCATACATTCCATCGGGTTTTAATGGAAATTAGAATAAATGTGCATTTAAACTCCTGCAGCATGCATGGATCCTGCTGCCACAAAAAAGAAAAAAAAGAAAAACACACACTAAGACACAAAAAAAAACAATAAAGCACTGCAGAGCTACTAATTGAACAACAGTACAGTAATTATCTAAACATAGAGAAGTGAGGACCTGTTCCCTGTGTGACTGTTTTACACTGTGGGCAGCCTTTCAGTTTGCGGTAAACCGCTGCCTCTGTCATGTTCAGCTTCTTGTACTGGTCCTTCATTACTTTCGGGTCCTTCTCCAGTTTTCCCTTTCTGTCCAGCACAACTTTCCTCACAGACACAGGGCACAGATTGTTCTGAGTGCTCAGCGTGCCTTACGGTGCCTCATGCAGGACAAACAATGCCTACATTTTTTTTTCTTTTTTTTCTTCACCTTTGGGTTTTCCGTTCGAGCCCCCTCCTCCTCCTCTAGCCCCCCACCATCTCCCATCTCTCGCCTGTCTTTCTCAATGCTTCTTATATGTTTCTTTAGCTTCCTAAAGTTGTGCTGTTCTCCTTTCTGCTCGAGAGCACACCTTTTTTCATGGCTGTGTCACCCACTTTTCCTCCCCCTCTCTCTTTGAGGAATGTCGGGCAGCGTGGCTCTTCCTGCAGCCTGCTGCAGGGGGACAGGATTCCCATTGATAGTGCTCTGAGCATGGGGGTGGGTTTAAGATGAACACTGGACAAGTGTGCATGTTTCAGTGAGTGTGTGTGTGGCTCTTTCTTTTAACATACCAACATTTGTGTCCAGCGTGTATAAATTGCCCAATAGTGTCTTTATTCATTTTAAAATACATTAAAAGGCTACATTTTGTGTGGGGGTTGTGTGTGAATGTGAGTGTGTTATTGTAGCTTAGTTCCTCTGGGTTAGTGACGTGTCACTCCAAAAACGCTCCGCAATACTTTCTTTGCTCCAGTTGCAAAATGATAGTATAGGGATTTAAAAGCAAATTTCATTGACTTAAAATATATTTTAAATAAAGCTGAGTGTACTCACAAATTTACAGGGGTATGTGATTTGATTAACCGGATCTAATATTGATTTAATCTGTTTTAAAATTGCATTAGGAGCGATATGCTGTAATTCCAGCTTTTTTAAAAATAAATAAGCATATCAGAGTAGCTATATGCCTTGTCATCTATATGGCTGCTGTGCATTATGCAATGAAAGGAAAATCATGTTTCCACATCATCTCCCCCTTAGATAACATGTTAAAAACCAAAGAAGTATAATTCCCTCCTGTTCATCAGAGAGGATCTGAAATCAGTTTTTCTTTTCAGATGCCCAGACTGGGCATCAATCAACTTAAATATAATTTAAGAAATTATTAATTAGATTAAAAAAGACACTTTAATATAATGAAAACATGTTGATATGTTGCTAAGGCACATATGACTCCACTGGTACAGTTTTCCCTAAATAAAAATCTGTGCTTTAGCTGACAATGACAATCCAGAGAAGTTTTCTTCATACAATAAGCTAACATCAGCTGCCTATACTTTTTTGAATAAATTTGAATTGTTTTGTTGATAAGTCAGTTGGTAATATAGGTTTAGGAAAACATCAGAAAAGAAATACACATTTGTCACCTGTATATTTTTTTTTTTTATTTCTGTATCTAGAAATGTCAAATATAAAATCATAGTTGTTAAATTAGTGCAGTTACAAACAGGGCTGATGGCAGGCAGAAAGAATGCTGTCGCAGCAAATACAAAAAAACGTTCAAGTTGATCTTTTTTAGATAGCTTCTATTAATTAGAAGCAAACAATGTGCAGACCTTGTCTCATTTGCTACAATATGTCCACACAAACAGGCTGGGATTTTAACACATTTATTTTGTAAAATTAAGGCCATGTATCCCTAGCTTGCACTATATGTGCTTCTTACAACCCATTTTAGACAATAGATTGATGCTTGCCACTGGCCTAACAAAGTCTGCCTCTATTTACCTCCACCAAGGAGGTTATGTTTTTAGTCGAGTTTGTGTGTTTGTTTGTCTATCTGTGTACAGGATAACCTGAAAAGTTATGAATGGATTTTAATGAAATTTCACCAAAGGTACATCTCAGTCCAGGGAACAATCCATTCAATTTTGGAGATGATCCACATCATAATTTGGATACAGGAATTTTTAAAGGTTTGTTAAACATTATTTGGCGGAACAAGCAGTTCCCCCCTAAACCAGAGAGTGGCAGCACTGACTATAGACAGCTCCAGCATCGGACTCCAAAAAGTCCAGAAGTGTGATACTGAAGACAAAGACTGAATCCCAAACTGCCCCCTAAGCACTAACCCTTAACTATCAAGTGTCACTCCCAATGAAGTCTCACTCGCAGCTGTGGAAGACACCTTGATTAAAGGTGGGGGGGTATAAACGAGAATGGGCAACACAGTAACACCCAATGGCAACACAGTAACACCCAATGGCAACACAGTGACGCCCAATGTGCGTGGCTGTAGCTGTGTGAAACAGGTTAACATAACATTTAACATTTGCCCCTTTCTTAAAACAAATGTATATGGCCAAATAAAACAATTCTGAAAGAGAACATACCATTTTGGAATTAAGTACGTTTTTTTTTCATAAACTAACTGTGATATTTCCGTCAGTGTGACAAAGATGCAGCAAACCAGCTGAATTTACATTTGGTGGAACGTGTTTCCTCCGCTACCAGGCTGCTGTTTCACCTGCTGAATTCCAGCTAGCGTGCAATTGATTCAGACTCGCAATTTACAGGCTGAACGTTCCACTGGCCCTACCCACTACTTTGATTGGGATGACACTTAATGTGGCGGACCCTCTGCAGGAACGCGCAAACGGCGGGTCAGTGCTCAGGATTAGTGTTTAGGGGCCGGTTTAGTATTGAGCCAGTAACACAGGAAAGGTGAGCCATGCCTCACTAAAAAAACTCCCTCTGCTGATCAATTAAGAAAGCAAAGTGTATGAAGAAGGTGGAAGCAGAACAAACACCAAAGGCTGCAGACACTCTCTATGCCTTATTTATTAACTTGTGAAAGGATTTTAAGGAAATTGTTACTAAAGGTGCGCCTCGTGCCAATGATCTAGATCATTTGGTCGTTTTAGCTATAGGTGGAAGTCACAATATAGGGCACAATTTACTGATTGGTGGATATCTATGCTCTCCAAGTGCTTTTCTATTTATCTAAAGTACGTTCTTAAGACCAAAAAAGTTTGAAACTCTTAAAAATGTGTCGGTGTTGTCTGTGTGCAATCTACAAATCAGTGAACCCAAGAATTAGACTTCTTGCTCTTTCTCATTTTTTAGCAAAGGAAAAAAACAAAACATCCTGCTCTACTCATTTATTGACTTCCTAAAATGTGTGACAGTGGAAGTGAAATCCTGGGTTAACCGACCATAAGCAACAGAACATCCTGTTTAGAGGACATGATGAGTCTGTTGTTTTTACAGAAGGGAGGAAGTGAACTTTGGTAGCTTTTGGTCAGGAGTGTGCTTTTTAATGGTGTGCAAAACAAATATGCTTATTCATACGTTTGTGGTTTATAGAAACTTTTTAACCAGTGCTTCCTAAAAACATTATGCTAGTTTACCTGGAATAACCAGTTAAACATGATTTCTGTTGGATAGACTCTATTGGATGTCATATCTATATTCTACTCACCAGCCACTTGACATTAATTTAACAATAAAGTCTGCAGACAGTGCTTTGTCAAATGATTTATATCTACTTACGTTTTCCAAATTTTTTCATATTGCAGCCAAATTTGTTAATTTGATACTGGATACTCCGATCAGATTAGTAGGTGTTCAACTTCAGCACTTTGCCAAGGAGAATTTTATTCATGTAAATCCATTAGAATGGGGTTAAATATGTATGCATGGCACTCTTTATTTCACAAAATATAAAAACATGCATCTTTTTATTTTTGGGTTGGAACATAAAATCCTGCATGTTTGTAATGAGGTTTGTATTTAAGGCGTAAGAACCTTTTAAGAAGGCATGGATACCAGGCATCAAATAAATAAATAGAGAAGCTCTTGTAACCGATTAAACCAACAATATTTAAAGAAAAGGTGTTAAATGCTAGTGACGATTCTCAGTCACCCAGGTAATAGTCATTCCAAAAAAGTAAAAAAAAAAACTTGTTTTACAAGTTTGAAGACGTTAAGCTTCCCATCCAAAAAGCTTCTTGGATGGGAAGCAAAACGTCTTTGAAAACAAAGTTCAGTGGATTGTTTTATAACTTTGTTGGATTAAGTGTTAAAATACTGGTTCATTAATCTGACATTAAAGAAAAAGCTAAAAGATATATAGGTTTTAGTCAAGTCAAAAATGAATATTGGTATATCTCTCATTGTTTCTCTCTCCTTGTCCTCAGTGTTCAGTATATGTCCCATTTTGAGCCACGGAACCTGAAGGCTTTTTCTGTGGAGCCATTGCTGCTCTATCCCACCCATTACACCGGAGAGCCAGGCTACATCAGCGACACCGAGACTTCCACCATCTGGGATGACGACGCCATCGCCACCGACTGGGACCGGCAGCACGCACGCAAAACAGCCCAGCAGGGCCGTATCCGCCCCGTAGCACAGAACACCGTCACCGGAGACTCCCCGCCTCCTGCTGCCCGAGCCTCACGCGATGAGCTCTGATAAAGACCCAGGAGAGTCTCTGAATGTCCCACATATCCGCACTTAAAAAGAACCTGGAGCTGACATATTGCACAGGCATTCACACTGATAAAACTGGTGGATTATGGCAGAAATGAGATGAGCCTCGTATCTGCTGCCTGTGGAAGGGACGAAGCAAGCAGAACCCGGGACGAGGGCCAGCAAGCCTTCTACAAAGAGCTTTATTTATTCTCCATGTGGGTTTTTCGTGCATGGATCCAGTTACGGCCTGAAAACTTTACAAGGAAGTCATGACAACATGTACATGATGTGAAAAGAAAAGGAAAAAAAAAAAAAAAAAAAAAACAAAAAAAAAACAAAA